CCAACGTGTTCCACCTCTGGAGAACACGTTGCACACACACACACACACACACACACATACACACACACACACACACACACACACATGAACACCAAGTAGGAAAGCACCGCTTCAAGTCTGGACCAAGAGTTAGGAGATTTTCAAGTGCTAATTTATAAGTTTATATACAACCTAATCCCCATGTTGAGAGCTTTTGTCTTCTGCGAACATAAAAATGACCATCAGAGAAAACAATAAAAACATCTTCTGACAGTTTTTAGATATTGTATTGATTAAAGTTGTTTATACACATTAAAGAATCAGTGTGTTTAATACACTTCTTATGTTAAAAAATGGTTTCTGAATAAGTAGAAATAGGCTTAAAATGTGTTTGTTATATATGTTGCCTCTTTGCCCTTTAACAACTGAGAACAAGTTCGTTTGGAAAAATTCTTTGTTATGCAGTTGCCTAACCATCTTGCATACCAAATTGTTGCTTAAAAACCGTGCACGCACAGTAAAAAACAAACAAACTTGTTCTTCAATAAAAAATCAAACATGAGAATTAATGACACCTTTGGTTGTCTGATGATGATACTGGATTTTATCAAAAATCTAAATATGGTACTCATAACTTGTGAACAGGACTCACCCCTGTAAATGGGAGCACTGTTGCTGTGGCAGATGGGTGTGAATTTTTTTTCAATGGAATATTCCACTTAAAAACAACAACAACAAAAAATCCCAAAAATCTATTTTTTTTTACCTTGTTGAACATCAGGCAGATCGCTGAGGCAAAAAAAAAAAGAAAGAAAGAAAAGAAAAATAAAATCTTCAGAAGAATGTCAACACACCAAAGTTTGGAAATTTTTGAATTTTTCTAAAGTCTTCTGTCTGCCAGTGGCTTTTCTTCTAAATATCACTTCAAATGTTTAAGTAAAAAAATGCTCACATTTTCAGTCAAACAGTGTAAAGGCATACATGCTAAGACCCTGCAATATTGCAATATTTAATCACAGTGAGCTGCATAACAATGTGTCCGGTTATGCAACTGAAAGCACCAGAAACAGAACAGCACATTCCACACACTTCAGTGTCAAATGAGTTTATTTAGGCACCTTGGTGGTCATGTGAATATCATGTTTTTTCATTTTTCATAAATGTTAAGAAACACTTGTTCACAGTCATTGGATTTTTACTTTTGACCAACATCATGGAAACTTGAGGGAATGGATGGATGCCGAAGGACATGCATGTTTAGATACATGGTTAAAGGAATCATATTCAGTAATAATATTACTTGATTTTATTAGTTCTGGGTATGTTTAAGTTCCAAAAATATTTTGATATGACTGTTTTCCAAATCTGGTATACAAGCTCTGTATATGTTGCATAATGTAATGGTTGTTCCAAACTTAATTTATTGTGTTAAAGGGAAAGCATGCAAAACAATTATAAACCCTATTTTTGTTTTACAGAAAAGGGCTGTAAGAATTATTGCAAGTAAACATTACTGTCACCCATCAAATGTATTATTTTATCAGTTGAAATTGTTGAAGTTCTATGAGTTGGTTGATTATAATATTTTACAGGTTATGCATAAGGCTCATAAAGGAATATTGCCTTTAAATATCCAACTGAATTTTGTTAAGCGAGAAAGTTGTTATAATCTGAAAGGGGTGGAGATGTTTATGAAACCTGGATTTAGAACTTGTTTATGGGATCGATGTACTTCGGTACAAGGAATAAGACTGTGGAATAATCTGGAGAGCGAGGTCAAAAATACAAGAACAATGTTGATGTTTAAAAGAATGATAAAGGTCATCTTGATAAAAAATATGAAACAATGTAAATGTGTATTCATACAAAATGATATCTAATAGGGATTTGAGATTTTTTTTTGTTTAGTTTTGTGTTTGTTAAGACTGATTA